GCCGATGAAGAGGATGTACTGTTGGAAGGGTGGGCTGAAGAAACTGTAGCTTCCAGGTGATTTAGGAGCCTCCCATACTTCTCAAAGTCTAACTTCATTGCAGCCAACTGCTCAATGGTTGATGTTTTCTCACTCTCCTTACTTCCCCCTTCAGGTACTGTAGCAACATTAGCAGTCTTGAGTTTTCCCGCTTGATTGCCCTTCTTAGGATTGTTCTTAAACCTCTCAGAGAGTAGTCTAGGGTGAAGTTTCCAGCAGGTGTCCTTGGTATGCCGTGGTTTCTTGCAATATTCACATACCTGCTCCCCCTTTTCAGTAGGCCCCTTAGATTTCATTCCCGCATGTGCAAAATGTTCTGTAGGTGGACTTTGCAACTGAACTTGTCATCTACTTTCCTCACTACTTATCATGGCATATGCCTGTGATAGAGTAACCTTATCTCTGACCAAAATATTTTGTCTAATAATATCAAACTCAGGGTTGAGTCCAGTGAGAAACTCTAACACCCTATTTCTCTCCACCAGCTTTCTGTACATTTCAACATCCTTTTTACTCTCCCATACCACAGTTTCCATAACATCAATTTCCTGCCATAGGGATTTTAGTATAGAGTAGTAGATTGCTACACTCTTCTCTCCCTGTCTCAGGTTCTTCACATCACTTTTCAATTTGTATGCTCGGGCTACATTTAGTTTCTGTGAATAAGTCTCAGTTACACTATCCCATATCTCCTTAGCAGAAGACATCCAGAGATAGTGCTGGCTTATATGAGGTTGCATAGAGTTAACTAACCATCCTATAACGGTATAGTTCTCTTGCATCCATCTCTCAAATTCAGGATCAGTCTTTTCGGGTTTCACCTTACTACCTGTGAGATACCCAAGTTTTCCTCTACTACAAACATAAATTTTTATAGACTGTGCCCAGGCAAGATAGTTCATCCCGTCTAGCTTAATCGTGCTAACACCAGTCAAAACAGAATCTACTGGAGTAGGTCCAGAAATCGGCACCTGCTTGAACTCACTTCCATATGTCTCCATTAATCAAACGGAAATCAAAGAACTGAAATTTTAACTATGCAAACTTACTTGAAGTCAAACCAGAATGCTTGAAGAACTAGGGTTTTGCTCCATCCAGTAGATGAGAGGAAGAGAGAAGATGGTGCCGCACCAACCAGACTGACCCAAACTCTTCCTAACCTGAACCACCCTCCTTTAGCAGTCACAAGACACCTTCCAAGCACAGAGCGCCACACCCAAGCTTCACCTTTCCTGGTAACCTCGAAAATCTCTAGTCGGTTAGGGTTTCGGGCAGCAGCAAAACAGCATCACTTCTTGGCAAAATTCGGCCAGAACTTAAATCTCCAAACCCTTCTACCAACTAGGCAAGTGATTCTCTATACTATAGAGAACCTATCTCTCCATACACTCTCTTGATTTTCGAGTGTACAGGAACGAAGAAAAAGGATGAAAGAAGAACTGAACCTGGCTCTGATACCAAGATGTGAATCAGTCTTTTAATATCAGATTTAAAATCAGTAATTAACAATGCAAATCAGATCTGAATAATAGTGCAAGAGCTGTGTATGTCGAAGAGAAGAGGTAAGAGAAGAAGAAGTCGAATNAWTCACCCTTCTCCTCTAACCCTATTTTATTAATCTCTAAWAATTAATGATGACAAGTATGCCCTYAAGTGGGCGGCCAGCTTGGCAATTACATAAAGAAAATAAAACAAGAACAAATAACAGGCCCATTAAGTGAGGCCCATCAACATAAAATAAAAGATAAAAATAAAGGATATCACACAAGCAGCTGTTAGGGCCCATTCGGCCCAGTCTCTTTACACGAAGACTAGGCCCAAACATGTGACCGGCCTGACATCAAACCCAACTCTTCAGGCCCCAGCCCAACCTGACCTTCCAAAAACTTACAGCCCTATGTCAGATCAGACTTGACTTGGGCAGGTTTGTAGGGCCTTCATATTTCACAATTTTTGGGTCATAAAAGATATATTAAATTTCACTTAAATGGTTCAAGTACTGCTTACAATAGATGTGGTTTAAGGTTCAAAATCCTTTTAGATGAGTATTTTTACATTATATTTGTATTTTACATCATGTTTTTAGTATGTAACTTCGATGAAATCAAGTCAAAAATAAACCTGGGCCTACATCATGGCCAGGCTTCAGTTGGGCTCGCACTACCCAATTCCATAACCCAAGCCTGGGCTCAGGTTAGGCCCACCTAAGTTGCAACCCTACTTTTTTCAAGCTATATTGTAGTTAGGAGTTCCAAAGAGAAAAGAACCTTGTGTAAGTATGTCTTTTGGTGTGGTTGGCACTGTGTATGCTTTCTCCTCTTCTGGTTGTTCCCTGTCACCTGGCTTTGTATCACTTTTTCTTTTAATGGAATTTCTTCTTTATTATCAAAAATTTAAAATGAACTTTCTTCTCTTAAATTCATGCTTTTTAACAGTGGTTACTTTCAATAAAATGTGCATCTTTAGTTTACTTGCTTGATTTACTTTATTTTTTTGTTTAGGTGGGGAGGAGAGGACAATTGAGTTTATGGAGAGGCAGGGGCGTATTGGTCCTAAAACTCCACTATTGGAGCATGGTTCTGAAAGGGGAATCGTAAAGCATCCTTTTCCAATGAATTATTTATTAAACCCATGGAAACTTGGTCGGTGGTTTTACCAAGTTATCAAGTTTGGAATTGTTCAATATGTATGTCTCCTTTCATCCAGAAAACTATCTTATTTTTCCTTTTACCTCCACTGGAAAGAAAATAGTTTAATGCTTACTACTTATGCTATTGATATTATTGTTTTTTGCAGATGATAATAAAGACTTTTAGTGCCATTTTAGCCGTCATTCTTGAAGCTTTTCAGGTGTATTGTGAAGGGGAATTTAAATGGGGTTGTGGGTGAGATAATGTCCAATTCCATTATAGATTTCTTGTCCTTTATACTTAAATATGTCATTTACTAGCCTTTACCTGTACTAATTGGTTTGCCGTTTTTGATGTGTCTCTTCATTCTTTGAGTTGTTACATTAATACGTTGTTGTGGTAATAAATGAGTTTACAAGACCTCCTATTGCATGTGGCATGGAGCAACATCATGGGGGAATGTTATCATCTGCTTATCCCACCCAAGTGGAGTCAATAGCACAAATCATGTTCCTCCATTTGGCTACATTCTGTTCAATAATTATCTGATCTCACTACTTCAACCTAGGTCCATTTCGCTTTCTCCTTTTCCTTTTTGACCTTCAGCATTCTTAAAACGCAGATAAAAATCACAGGAAAAGTCAATTTGAAAGGAATAGTAGCATATTAGAAAATGCACATAAGAATCTAATGTAGGAGTTAATACTGATAAGAAATTACTAGAGTGGTAGAAAGAATAACAAAAGCATAGAGAATAAGATAGGGTATAAGAGCAACCAAAGCAGTGTGTGGGATAAAAAAAGTGGCTATTCAGGAGACACCTTGCTTAGCTGTTCAGGTTCACCCGGCAAAATAATTTCTTCAAGATCTGAATTTTTCTCTCTCCTCCATGGTCTAAAGCTAACCTACTCTCCCAGTTGGGCTGGTTTTATTGTCAAGTAGTGATTGGATGGGTTTCATCAAAAGTAGGTGGCACTTGGTCTCTTAGGTATCTGCTATGAGATGTTAAGGCCTTATCAACCACAAGGAATTGCTTGTTTGGGGAAAGGGGATTAAACTTGAAATAATGGCTTTGTTTATGATTAAGAAGTAATGGTTTATTTTCTCTTTAGACAGTTGTTGCTAAAAGAAGTGAAACGTGTATCTGATGAAGGGGAGGGGTCCAAGGTGAGATTTGGATATTGGCTGATCCATTTGGACTTTTGGTATGTTTCTGTAGAGGAAGGCATCAAGTCCAATGGATCATGATACTTGGCTTGCCACTACATCTTGTAGTCACTCCATTTTGTAATTGATGGGGATGTATGTGGTGGATTTTGCAACTAGACAAGTTTGAAAAGGTGAAGATAATTAGACAATGGGCTTAAATTGAAGATGTAACAAAATAAGAATTTCTGACAAGTATGAAGATAGTTATCTATAATATTGTGTATGTCAGTGTAAGATAACAATTTGGTTGGAGATCCTCCTGTTATTGATTTTCACAGGGAAGGAGTAGCTAGAAAAGGCCTATTAGTTGACCATCATGAATGTACATACAAGCCTGTAATTGAAGGAATAGTCAGCCGTATTTTGCATGACATTTGATATCTCTGAACAAGTGATTGTTTCATTACATTTTGCATACCATTCATTATTTCAATCCTAATTCATGAATGCCATTCAGGTAGTAAATGTTTAGTGCTGAGCATAGTTTTCAAGGCGTCTAGGCGATTCTGGGCAACACTGGGGCACCTAGTCACCTAGGAGATAAAAAGTTTATAATATAAGAACTGACTTTTGGTTAGTTTCCTAGTTTTGTATACCATTCGGCATGTATGTTAATTGAAAAAATAGCAATTCTCTTTATTAAGAACATCAAATTTCCTCTAAAAATGTGGCAAATCATCACATCTAAAAGATAAAAATCTTTTACATATATTAATTTCATTATTTTCAAAAATAATACTACTATAATAAGTATTTAATAGAGTA